TGTGAATGTTGAATTGAATGATATTCCCATTGTTAGAGAATTTCCGGATGTGTTTCCAAATGAATTACCAGGGGAATTGGTAGACAGGGAGATAGAGTTTACTATTGAGACTGTGCCAGGCACCCAGCCTATTTCTAAAACTCCCTACAGGATGGCTACCGCCGAAATGAAAGAATTAAAGGAACAGTTGCAAGACCTTCTTAATAAAGGGTTTATCCGGCCCAGCACTTCGCCTTGGGGCGCACCGGTGTTATTTGTGAAAAAAAAGGATGGTACTTTGCGCCTGTACATCGATTATCGGGAATTGAACAAGGTAACGATAAAGAACAAGTATCCCTTACCCCGTATTGATGATTTATTTGATCAGCTGCAGGGATCACAGGTGTTTTCTAAGATTGATTTGAGATCCGGGTATCATCAGTTGAAGGTTAAGGCAGAGGATGTTGAGAAAACAGCATTCAGAACGAGGTATGGTCATTTTGAGTTTCTTGTTATGCCATTTGGAGTGACTAATGCTCCGGCAGCATTTATGGACTTAATGAATAGAATTTTTAAAACCTACCTTGATGAGTTTGTTGTAGTCTTCATCGACGATATCTTGATATATTCTAAAGATAGACTTGAACATGAACAACATCTGAGGACTGTTTTACAAATACTTCGGGAAAGGAAATTATTTGCTAAACTAAAGAAGTGTGAGTTTTGGTTAGATGAACTTGTTTTCTTAAGGCATGTGATCAACAAGGAAGGAATTTCAGTGGACCCACAGAAAATAGAGGCAATTGTGAATTGGCCTACACCAACCAATGTAACAGAAGTTCGCAGTTTCATGGGCTTAGCTGGGTACTACAGGAGATTTGTGAAGGACTTTTCGAAGTTAGCTGTGCCTCTTACCCAATTGACACGAAAAGAGCAACCATTTGAGTGGAACGAAGAAAGAGAATCAGCCTTTCATGAACTGAAGACAAGATTGACTACTGCACCAATTCTGACATTACCTTCAGGTACGGAAAATTTTGTGATCTTCAGTGATGCATCTTATAAGGGTTTGGGTTGTGTGTTAATGCAGAACGGAAAGGTTATTGCCTACGCCTCCAGACAGTTGAGGCCACATGAGAGGAATTACCCAACCCATGACCTAGAATTGGCCGCAGTTGTCTTTGCTTTGAAAATCTGGTGGCACTATTTGTATGGGGCAAAGTGTGAAGTCTACACAGATCACAAGAGCCTGATATACATCTTCACGCAGAAAGAGTTGAATATACGTCAGAGAAGATGGCTGGAATTGATAAAAGATTACGATCTAGAGATTTAATATCGTCCCGGAAAGGCTAATACAGTGGCTGATGCCTTGAGCAGAAAATCAACAGGGAGCATGGCTTGTTTACTTACTGAACAAAGGGAAATTTTGCAAGACTTTGAGAAGTTCGAAATTGAAGTAGTAGTGTGTGAACGAGGCGGATTGATAGCCGCTATTACAGCTGAACCGGCAATGGTTAAAGAAATCAAGCAGAAACAGAAAGAGGATGGGTTCCTCAGAAAGGTAATTGATGAATTCGAGACAAGTCCAAAAGCAGAATTTAGCATTGAGAATGAAATGTTGAAATTCCGGAACAGAATATGTGTCCCTGATATCCCGGAACTGAAGAAGAAAGTCCTAAATGAAGCCCACAGATCCGTGTTTGCTATGCATCCGGGTAACAACAAAATGTATCGGGATTTGAAACAAACCTACTGGTGGCCTAAAATGAAGAGAGAGATTGCGGAGTATGTGTCCAAATGCCTTCAGTGTCAGCAAGTTAAGGCTGAACATCAGAAACCAGGCGGTCTACTTCAACCTCTCCC